CATCAACTCAATGGCAGTGAGTATGTACCGTTAGCCTTATATTTGTATTCATTTATATCTTTTCCTTGTAGCCTCTCTCCACTGAGATTATAAGCATTTTGAAGACAAGAACCATGCAGTGTCTTACATAATATAAACCAAGCTCACTGCCATCGAGTTGTCTCCGACTCACAGTGACCTCTCCTTGGCTCTCTGAAGGGGTATCTCTATGGAAGTACAATGCCCAGTAGATTGCCTCGTAAGGAGTAGCTGGTGGGTTTGAACCACCAGGCTTGTGGTTAGTAGTCAAATGCCTCAGTCACTACGCCACCGGAGCTCCAGTCTTACATAATAGTAGACAGTAATGGTGCTGAAGGGAAGAAAAACAGGACATCATAACAATTCCACAGTGAGCAATAATACAACCTAGTGTTTATTCTTAAATAGCAGACAGAGTATGTCAATAGGCAGGCTCATGTATTCTTAACACTTTCCCAACGTCTACTTTTACTTCTGGTCACTGGGGGGGTGAATAAACGGTAATAGAACAGTGGCTTGCGGCCCAAACTCTGAGGTGACAGAACAGATCCATGTTACTCACCTTAAACGTAGTTCAGAAGATGTAAAAGACAAAACCATTAAAGTATTAGAAGGAAATGGAAGCCATAGTTTTCTTTTGGTGGCAGAGAGCTTTCCAAACCTGCTAACACAGGCAGAAAACACTGATCGATTTGACCACCGTGGGCAAAGTTAGGGAGTCCTTGGGTGGCACTGGACCGCTAACGGAAAGATTGCTGGTTGGCGCCGACCCGGAAGTGAATTGGAAGTGAGGCGTAGCAGCCTGCTTCCGAAGGATCACGGCCTGGAAAGCCTACGGAAGACTTTTACTCTGCACGCGCAGGGCCATCACGAGTCGGAGTCCACTTGGCAGCAACTAACAGCAAGACGGCAAGGTCAGCATTTATTTCAGTGCCGAGCTTTCTTCTAAACGCTTCACAGACATTGTCTGCTGTTAATCCTCAGGACAACCTTGCAGGGAAGATCTATCATCTCTCAGATGAAGGAGGTCAGTGTAAGGCTCCAGGGGCAAAACCGAAAGCAGAACGGAGTCAGCTAACTACTGTGCGCCTAGTTACCACTGTTGAGTTTGCCTCCTTAAAGAAAACCAAGTGCAAAGCGTTTGAAATATTGAAATACATGGTAGTAATGGGAAAGATCTATACATTTAATACAGGAAGAACTTTTATATATCAACCAAAAAACCTGACAATCCAGTAGAAAAAGGCGCACGAAGGGTTGGAGGTCTTTGCCCTTTTAGAGTCACTTCTGTCCCTTCTCCTCGTGTCTTATGGGGGATGTGGCCCTTTGCCGCCTCTTGGAATAAAAGAAATTCAGGGCCATTGAGTCAACTTCAACTCATAGCGACCCCCATTGGGTTTCCAAGGTGGTAAATCTTTACAGAAGTAGATTGCCCCGTCTTCCTACCATGGAGTAGCTGGTGAGCTTGAACTACCCACCTTGTCGTTAGCAGTCAAATGCCATAGGCACTGCACCACCAGAGCTGTTTACCTCCTGGTATAGTGTCGTGTATTTTCTTTTATTACTTTGATAACATGGTGTTAATAGGTGCATGTTTTAATCCATGCAGAATTGCTTTGCTTTGGTTTTGCCATAGTTGAGGTAGGGAATCTTAACTTTGCTTGTCGTATATGAATATCTAGTTGTTTTAAAATCTTGTATTGAATGGTTCATTCTTTCCTCATTGATCTAAAGTACCACCTTTGTGTGGACTCCATGCTGTTCCATGAATACACTTGTCTTTTCCTCTGTCAGTATCACCTACTTAATTTCAGTTGCTTTGTGATATAATTTGATACTTGGTAGGGCAAGCTCTTCCTCTTTCATACTCTTTTTCATACTTTTCAAGCTATTTCTGCATATTTTCTGTACCAGATGTCAATTGCTTAGGTTTTATAAAAAGAAAACAAACTCTTTTGGGATTGTATTGAATTTATAGGTTAATTTGAGGAGAACAGACATGTTTCCAATGCTGAGATTTCCCTGCTGAACACATCATATCTCATTCTACATAATCAGTTCCTCTCAATGTTCTTCAGAATTTGTGTTTTCTTCATATTGGTCTTGCACATCTTTTGTTCACTTTATTCCTAAGTACTTTATACATTTCTATTGCTATTGTGAATAGACACTTTCATTACTCTTTTTTGTTTTGATTTTTTAAACTTGTGCTTTAGGTCAAGCTATGCATAGTTTTCCATTCAAGAAATTTTATTTGAACACATTTCAAATTTTGTGACATTACTTACAGTCTCTAAATGTAACAGGACTCTTCCCACTTCCTCTCTATGTTCCTATTTCCATTTGTCCCTCATTTCTGGCCCCTGAGCTTTGGTTTAGGCAAATGCTGCCCTTTTGGTCTTATATGGTTGATTGTTCTCAGTTGTACATTCATCACGGGCATTATAGTTCCCATTATAGGCTTGTCTATTCTTTGGCTGAAAGCTGGGTTCAGTTCCAATTTTGAGGGTGTCTAATTGCCATAGTCTCAAGTGTTTTAACCTCTGTCAAACCAGCAATTCTGGTCTTTTTAATGATTCTGAATTTTGTTCTACAATTCTCCCCCACTCTATCCAAGACCACCTATTGTGATCCTGATTGGAGATTTTGGTAGAAGTAGGTGTGCATCATCTAATTTTGGTCTCAGGATAGTAAAGCCTGTTTTGGGTATTCCATTCACCCTTTGGAGTAATTGTGCTTGAGTATATGATTTTCTTCACTCTTCTTAAGTCTGTACAAGGAGACACCAATAGTGCCATCTTAGATGGCTGCAAATAAGCTTTTAGAACACTAGCTGGTGCTCACCAAAGTAGGATGTAGAACATTGTCTTTGGGTTATACCAGTTGACATGTCTCTTGAGACTATGGTCCTAAGCCCCCAAGCCCATTCCCTCAAGGTGTTTGGTTATGGCTAAGAAGTTTTCGTAATTTTGCCACCTGTATATTCTACTATACATATAAATACTTTTTCAGGACAATGCATATGTAAAAATACCTTCTGCCAAACCTGTACGTACTTGTGGGTGTAGTCTTGTAAGCCTTCCACACCTCTTCAGCTTTCATGCATACCTATGTATTCACTTACAGATTCATGTTTTTTATTAGTCATTGTAGTTCCATTATGTTTTCTAATTGGTTAATGGTACTACGTAGGAAAGCTACTGAATTATGTGTGATTTTGTATCTAGCTACCTAACTGAATTCTCATACTATCCTTACCCATTGCTGTCAAGTCAATTCTGACTCATAGCAACAGTATGGTACAGAGTAGAAATGTTCCATAGGGTTTCCAAGCCTATAAATCTGTATCGAAGCAGACTGCCAAATCTTTCTCCTGCAGACTGGCTGGTGGTTTTGAACCACTGATCTTTTTTTAGCACCCAAGTGCTTAACCCACTGCACTATGAGGGGTGCTTCGGAATTCTCACATTACTTCTCCAAAATTTTACTTGATTCCTTGAGCATTTAGGTTGTCCACCATTTCACATGCAAATAATGATAGTTTTGTCTGTCTTCCCAATACTTATATCCCACTGATTTTTCTTATTGCATTGATGACTACCTTCTAAGCAATGTTGGCTAGTAGCAGGAGTAACGGGCATCTGTATCCCTAACTTTAAAGCAATGCTGTATAAAAAGTGGAAGATACTTGTTATCAAGTTGGTATGTGTCCTCCTTTTCCTACTTCTAAGAGTTTTTGTTAGGAATTATATGTTGAATGCTACCCAAAAGAGTTGATGAAATATGTTAAACTACATGCAAGATCCCAAGCAAGGTGCTGTGGATGAGTAAGAACTCTTAAAACAGGATAGAATCCTTGTGCTCAGAAAGGCTTGTGCTCCAGCAGTGGAGATAATGGTTAAAATAAATAAGGGGAATGAAGGAAGGTCTGGAGATGGTGGTTATTGTGATGCATTACCATAATCATGTTTCTTCCAAAACAGATTTATTCGCATAGAGCAGCAGCTAAGAAAAACAGAGAAGGATCCTCAAGGTAAGCATTAGTCTGGCAATTTTTAAAAATGTTTATTGTGGTTAAAATGCATCCAAGACGTTCATAGTCTAGCAGTGTTTAAAACAGAATTTGAGAACTAGAGGAGAACTCATGGCACCTCTATCTCAATGCCCTCCATTTACAGCGAGGAAGCTGCCAAGGCAAGAAGGCACTCGCTCTGATACTTTGTCTGGCTCCAGCCAAATTCATCCTCCTGCCCAAGCAGCATTTGACAGGACAGGCACAGGCATCTGCTGTCACCAGTGCTCTCAGGGGAAGGGTTAGCCAGCGGCTGTTTCCTCCTGCTATTGGTGGGCAGCAGGCTGGGCCAGAGGCCTCGGTTTGTGGCTCTGGGGAAATAACAAAGGCCGCATGGTCTTGGCTGAGAGTGCAGGTTTCATTCGAGGCTGATGGAAAGTAGAATATTTGAGTTTTTCATGTAAAGTGGCAAGAAAACGTCACTTCTCATCCTACTGGTTGTTAAGCTCCTGCTCCTTATTTCCCTTATTCCAACCTCATAGCCTTTTACCTGTAAGTGGCCTTAGACAGTAGCTTGTCTCTAACAGAGAAGGCGAAAGGGAAAATATCTCCCTTTGGGGCCACTGCTGGTGCGTGTCTGAGACGGTAGCTCCTTCCCGTGTGGGCACTTCTCCACTGATTACACGGTGCCGGGGCCGTGAACTGCCTTTGCACCGTGACTCAGTATGTGCAAACTCAATACAGACATAAGGAGTTTCTAAAGCAAACTTCGTATCCCTAGGTTGTGCAAATGTTAACGCACTCAGCTGCTAACTGAGAAGCTGAGGTTTGAGTCCACCCAGAGGCACCTCAGAAGAAAGGCCTGGCTGTGTACTCCCCAAAACTCAGCCCCTGAAAACCCTGTGGAGCAGGTTCACTGTGACACACACGGGTCGTCGTGAACTGGAGGGACCCGATGCAACTTTTCTTTTACGGAACTTTTTACTCACTATGCTCTCTGGTATCTATCTTCTATTCAGTTCAGATTTTTTTTTAAATGGTAGTTATGACTTTTAACCTGATTTCACAACCCACTTGCTAATCAGTGCCCACCTATAGTATGAAAATAATTGAGCTATATAACTGTGCAAGTTAGCCTCAGCCATTCACTTGGTGTGATTCGACTTCCAGAATAAAGCAGCTAGAAAAAGAGACATATCTTTTGCTCC